CCTCCCCCCCCACGTGATATTTTGTCAACACACCCCCCTTCCCCTAAAAACCTCACATGATTAATGGACGCTCCCTCATAAGTTGCAATTTTAAATATTTATAACACATTAGTTGATAAAAGAGATGTAATTACGTAATGTAATTAAATTTCGTGCATGCTATTTTTTATTCAGTATTTCAGAAATTAATTATAAAATTTTTATTAAAATTCAGAAACCCCATGGCCACTTGTTCCTGTTTAACGATTCAGTAACCAAACTCGACAGATAGAAAATAAATGGGTCGCAAGAAAGGTAAATGCATGGGGATAAAATTTAGTTATTTCCAAATTTAAATAAATCTGAAATTTTGTATTAAGTAGATTAGTAGGTAGAGTTTTTATATTTGATTGGAATATGAGTGATATTGCACGAATTTTTTTTTGTTAGGATTTTTAACATTATTCTCTTAAATCAAAATAGATTCTAGTATGTACAAATTTAGGTTTTTATTGAGTAAGAGATATCTGAGATCGATTCTTTATTTTACATCTTTATTTATTGCAAATAAATAATCGTAACAGGACCTTGAGAAACGCGGAAAGAGAAGTTGGAAACTTTTATTGATCAATTTAGAGTGGAAAATTGCGGTGGGCCGACTTTTCCAACTTATTTATATTTCTATTTTCTTTATAAACCAAAATTTAAATCCGATGATGCAGTGTATTTGTTAAATGAAGAAGCACAATCGATTCTTAATTATTCAAATAAAAATCGTATTGGCGTCAGTAGTCTTTATCGCTGCTTGATGAATTTGAATATTCGGTTTAATTTTTGTACATTGTTTTCTTTACTGTGTTGGATATTGATTGCATTAAACTATATTCTCTACTTTTTTCAGTGACTCGCAAGGTTTCGGTGAATTCTATCGAATTAATTTACTTTTTACGTTTTTGGTTTTATTTTGATTTGTTTTTTGGTTGCTGTGACGCACTTTTCGATACATTTATCATCAGTGTTTAAAGAATAATATGCCGTTGTGTTATGAGACATTTAGTGTTAGTTCTGAAGATATTGACAGAGACTCCTTAGTGTCATGGTATTCATTGGAAACATTTGAAATATTTAGGTAAATTTGTATTTTTGTAAATGCACGAATAAATAATTGATGGGAGCCATATATATTATATGTAAATCAATGCTTTGGAGGTGGAAAATGAGGCATAATGGTCATTCACATACATCAATAATATAAAAGCTAATTTATATGTAAATATGCTTCGATACACTTTCTTTAACCTGGCATTTTTAAATAACTCCATTTTTAACATAATGCTTTCATTTCATTCCTTCATTTCACTCAATAGACGTCAAATGAAATAATTAGACACTTGAAGAGAAAACATTTAGTAAGTGTAGAGTAATGAGTGTATGAAAATTATTAGCCCTAATTGTAATCTCCTAGTTATTTATTTTTGCATTTTTTATTTATCAAATTGTCGAAGTATATATATATTATATATATATATATTACATATATATATATATATAATATATATATATATATATACAATATAGTGTACATATATAGTATATATATAAATATATGTATATGTATATGTATATTGTATATATGTATATATATATATAGTCGCAATACTTCTCGAGACGGTTTGACCGATTTTTATGAAATCTCACAATCACGTTCAGTATAACTGATATTCGGACAACTTATTTTTCATATTCCTAGCTGGCAAGGGTTGGCCACCCTCAAGATGTTTTTTTTTAATTTTTTGGACCAAATTGTTTTACTGTATTTTTTTATAATTCCTAATTTGAAAACAAAAACAACCCTATTTTCGTAAACCCTTATTTCGTAATAGTCATTTTAGTAATCGAATAATCCTTTATCCCACTTTCAGTTAATTAATGTTTTCAAACTCAATTTTACTAAATTTCTTAAACTTATGAAAAAACTTAAATTAACTTAAAAAAACTCATTTCTAATTATGGGTTGTTCGCCTTAATATTTTTTGAATTGAGATTTTTTTTTTTATTTTTTTTTTTAAAATTAATTCAGATTTTCTTGGGCCTGCAGAAAAGCTTAATTTTTACTGTACAAAATAAAGATGTAGAGTCACCATAAAACTTTTTTTGAACTCTTTTGGTCATTTCTTTGATATGTTTTGTTGTAATGCACAGTTAAAAATCACATACTGTCCTAAATTTTTACCCTCCAACACAAGCTCCTAATTTGCTAATAGTAATTTAGTATTTTTTTTTACTATCTATAGAAATGTCTAGAAATATTTTACATGTAAAACAACGTTTGCCGGGTCTGCTAGAGATATATATATATATATATATATTTATATATATATATATTAGGGTGGTCCTTAATATGGACATTTTCGAATTTTCTTGCACCAGGGGCACAAATGCTTCCAAATTGATAAAAAAAACCTCTATAAGTTTTAGCTCTTAATATTGTATTTTAGATAGTGCGCAATTCAATCAAAATTCTGTATGTAATAGCATGGGAAAATTTTCAAAAATTTTAAAATGGGTTTTAGAAATAATTTTATTCAAAATTCGACGCTCTACAAAACAAATATATAAAAAAACAGTTTTGTAGAGCGTCGAATTTTCAATAAAAAATGACACGAATTTTTACTTTTAATTCATTTGTCGCTAAGTTATACATAATTTTTTTTTTCTAATTTTCAAATTTTTTCATGCTATTTCCATACGAAGTTCGATTGAATTGCGCACTATCTAAAAGTTAGTATTAAGAGCTAAAACTCAGAGAACTGTTTTTATCAATTTGGAACCATTTAAGCCTGGGAGCAATAAAATTTGGAAAGTCCATTCAAGGACTACCCTGATTATATTATATATATATATATTAATATATAGAATAAAATTCTCATGTTATGTTCGTCGCAATACTCATCCAAAACGGTTTGACCCATTCTTATGAATTTTATAATTACGTTTAGTATGGCTGAGAATCTATTTTTTATACCCATAAGTGGCAAGGATTGGCCACCCTTAAGATTTTTTTTTTATTTTTTGGACCATTTTATTTTATTTTATTTCTGATAAAAAATAAATTTTTTATATGCATATGTATTATAATTCAACGTAGACTACAGGACTTTTTTCAAAAAGAAACTATAAGTCGCCTTTCTCTTTCCCAGGTAATTTCAATATCTTAATAATAATATGAATATGCATATTGATATTGAACCTGATGTTATGAAGTATTATTTACATTTATTACATTGACTTGTACGTATATGTGCGATCTCCATATTCTAATCAATTCGTTGAACTTTGGGGTGGTCGCGCGTACGTAAAAACACGTTCTTATTACGTGAAAGGAAACAAAATTGAAACTTTCTTGCAAATACAGAAAAAAAAACGAATCTGAATTTTTTAGACTTTGGATTTCAATGTTTAGAAATCAACTTCGATGGACAGTAAGAAGCAAATTATATAAGACTCTATAATTAGTAGAGTGTTGTTTGTCAAGAACTAAAATTTCTACTGATTTTTGTTATGTTTAAGAGCAATTTCTGATATTTTCACAGATGTTCAAAGGCTTGATATCATTATGAATATTTATAGGGTAGGGCGAGTCACAAAGGAATTTCACTCTGATCAATAAATCTTAACAAATACCACAATACCACAAAGAAAGAATATCAGACTATGTTCAGTAAATCACCCAACTAATTCATTATTGTAGAAATATGTTTTTTTTCTATTTTTAAAAAAGTGTTTACCTGGTCCTGAAACAAATCCAATGTTTTATTTTTATTTTAAAAAGATTTTACGAAATAATAGCTACATATTCAACCAAGTCATAAAATTCATTTTTTACAAAGATACTTTTGCATATTGTGTATAACCTTGAT